AAGATTCAAGTAAACAATCCCAAGTGAATTTAGAATCGTATTAGTTTATAAAACCTTTTCATCGATTTTCAATAAATTCTGTACTTTCATAAAAACAGTCTAACAATTTGTATTCACTAGTGTTGTGATATCATAAATGACAAGATAATAACTTATACTTTTCATTTTTTGAGAGACATCAAATTTTTCTTATTCGATTATTTGATTTGATTATTATCTTTATTAAATAAAACTATGAAGAATCAATTATTAATGTTGATAACAGATGGAAGTATTTGGAAGTTGTTAAATAACTTGAATTTATTTCATGACAGTTTCTTAGTGAAGTAAAACAAAAAAAGACAATAACCTGTCACTTTTTTAAATCTGAGATTAGCATGTTTTGCAGAAAATCTTTATATTCAAGAAGAAGCAGATTATGTACAATAATATGATTATCTTCTGACAAAGCTTTGACATTTTCAAAACTCACTATCTAAAAAGAGCTTCTTATGAAAGTATAAAGTAATATTCATATATTTTTATATCATTATTATCATTATTATTGTATATGATGGAAACAACAAACACAGTCTGATGAAACACACTGGATATCCCAATATTTATTCATTATCCGTATATAAATAAATCAGAGTTTTATTTATCTTTTTTCGACAAGATTCGGTTTAGAGCTTAATATATATGAACTTGTTCCTAATTACTGAGTTACAATAGACAACAGTTATAATCGGTCATTAAACCAGTCTATATAATTTATACATAGACAACAATTTAACAATCAATCATGTCTATGTTTAAATCATTCTGAAATGCAAATATACCTAACAAATTCAATAAAACAGTAATTATTGATTTGCAATAAACAGTAAAATCTCCATAACCCTATATTGAAAAATGAAACAACCAAAAGAGAAAAATACTTTGAAAGGTTTTTGTTAACTAGAATTAATGAAATCTACTTAAGGTTATAAGTAGTTATTTTTGCAAATTATAAAACAAAATTCTTTCTGCAAACTATTTTTTATGTACCTAATGTATTTTGAATAATTGAATTATACATTTACTTATCTAAATAGTCAATGTATAAATTACGGTAGAGTAATATTACACAACTTGTTTGTGATTGTATTAATTTGGAGGGAATCAAGGCAGAATTTTAATTTTCTTTTTAAAAGTAACAATGTTTAATATTATTCATCGAATTAAAATTGAATTGAAATTATCTACTTAGATTCTAGACAAGGGTAAATTGTGCTTGGACTTATTATGTAGATAATGTGCTTGTTATAGTTTGGACTTTTGTAAAAATGTATGAATCCCTGGAAATTTATGTGGAAATGAATGATGATTTTAAAGATTGATCTTTTGTCATATATTTTATGTATAGTTATATAAATTTGTATCTATCCGAACATGTGTAAACTAGTAAATACAATTAAGTAATGTGTGGTTATTTATTAGATGGTGAGTTCTATGTAAGTTATATGATGTATTTTACCAAGTATTTTTTTTATAAATTGTATTAGTTAGAAATTTAAAACGCTAGTTAACTTCATTCTGTCTTCTATTGTAATGTAAACACTTTCCTTAAGAATAGAATAAGAAACAAATGTTAATGTTGCAAAATTTTAACATTAATCATTGAATGTAAATAAGTTCCTATTTATTGTCAGTCTTTCAGAATAGAGCTTAAAAGATTCTAATGTGTCTATAATCAAGGTATACTGAATTATATCAAAAAGACACCTTGAAGAATTCTCATTTAAAATGAACTTGACACAACCTGTCTATGCACAAGAACTATCCTATTTATGTAAGCTTCTGATAGTTTTGCCAGATCAAATTTTCAAACAAGCAGTATGGTCGAAAAATAAGTTTCTTATCATTTAATTATCTTCGTATTACAATCACATTACTTTATACTGAGTGTATCCACTAGGAGAATTCCATCCTTACCCACGTTGTATTAACGATAGGTAATCATGTAAATCTAAGAGTTGAAATTCAAAGACTTGGGAACCAGAAAATCATACTTTGATAGCAGTGTTCATACCAGTAGTTTCATAAAACTGATCATTACAATTATTCATAATTTTCTGTTGTCTAATGACCCAATATTGGTTATTAATTTATGAACACAGTAGAATGAATAAAATTCAGTCTTAGTAATCATATTTGATTACAATAACCAAATCTGACGGTTTTCGACAGTTTTATTTTAAGATAAAGATGACTAAATGACCCTAGAAACCTATGAAATTTCAAAAAGTGTACGTAAAGTGGAGCTTCCTGTTTTTTCTTAACAGCCTTCTATGTATTCGTAAAAAACAACAGATCTAATTTAGTAAACTGAAAATATCTAACATATCCTTTTCCCATTCACGATCTGCGCAATTACTAAACGAAATAATTTGTACTCTACACATTCATTCTACTCTAAAACTGACTTAAGCACAAACCCAATGGGTAAAAATGGATTACAATGAGCTGGGTAATTTGGGAGTTTTTCTCATGTTAAGAATTATTGAATACTAGTGAAGCCGTTGTTAGATGTTGGTCGCAGATGGTATATACTGTTCTAGGTTAACAAGTGGCCTTTAAAATGTTTCCAAAACGATTTACCTATCTACCATGGAAGATGTGTTCTTTATATTCCTTAAAAGACGTTTGTTATCAACCATTAGGCCAATAACCTGTTTATCCAATATACTACAATTGTGTTTATCCTACTAGATGTTTTGTTAAACTAAACACTTCAGTACTACACAGAAGGTACAGTGACCCAAATTCAGACATATAAAACTTGTCAGTAATTATATTTTGTGCATTGTTCGATAGTTAAAGCTGATCGACAGGAAACCTCAAAATTGGGTTTCATACTAGCAAGGCGTACCCGCAGTTTTGAGGGAATCAGTATTCCACAGTGACCTGAAACCTTCATCATTCAGTTTCACAATTTGAGACGTAATTACTGAGCTATTCAGTACATTGTTAACCTTCAGTAAGAATAAAATATTTACATTCATTGATCAATGATTTGTAACTGTGATCACATATATATCTATAACTAAGTGTTGATCAACTTTTGTTTATCAAATCGTAACGTAACATATGACCATTTGTTATTCATTTACATCTTATTGTCTAATTATTTCACTTTTTTTAGAAACTCACTACTCAAATAAATTATCTCATTTTTATTTTCTAATAATCACCCAAAGTTTAAAAAATATAATGAAGAAAAACAAAACTTTTGAGCAAAAAAAAAAGAAATATCTCACTGATAAATAGAGTTTTAACTTTAAAAAAAAGAAAACTTATTCATTTGAAATGATTTTCTTTTTTAATAAATTTCAAATATCAGTGAAATTATTAATCAATAATAAAAAGAAAATTTTTTTCTCGTTTTTATTCTTCTCTTAATCAATTTTTTTGATTCATTCAACTAACTAAAAAGAAGAACAAATTTGTAAGTGATAAATCTATCAAATGAGAAAAAAGTAAATTTTTTTGTTTAAATATTTAATAAATTGAAATTATTTGATTTCATAACTGAAACTAAAATGACTATGACTATTTTCTTTAGCTTTAACAATAAATTTCAAGAGTATTATTGAAATATGTATTTAATAGACTGGCGAGACTCTAATTTATGGACGACCTTTGAATGAATCCCAAGTGACCTTGGGAAGTATTAGCTAATCAGCACACAGTCAGTATAGAGTAAAAATATGTTATACAAAACCAAGAAAATAAAGTGGATACACTTCTTATACGTGGTTCAAAAACTTGTCAAGGTTAGAAAAAGGTTCAGAGGTTCTAAAATCCTAATGCACGCAGTAGAGGAAATCATCCATACGGCTACATAATAGTCAGCCTCTGGAGCCATGATAAAGTCTCAAAAACCCTTTTAGCCTTGACGATAAAGCTTCAATATTGTTTATGTTGAGTGCACAAAATGCTACTTGTGGTCAACGACACGATGCACATAACCAAGCCTATGTATGAGTCTGTACACTCTCCAATCATCCGTATATATTGTAGTACCCGGCTGCAGCCAGTGTTACTGGTGCTTTTATTATCCAGTTCTCGATAATTGTCGTAATTTGCCTTACTTAGGAATTATGTATAGGGTTTTCATCACGAACTGACATCAGCTATAATGCCAGAAATTTATTTAGTCGAATGGATGAAAGGCTTTTGCGTTAAAATCCGAGATCTATTATCTTATACTTGATTGATTCGTCCACAAATTATAGTCTCGCCGTTTTATTTGTTATAGCCGCTCAATTATCAAGTTTTGTACAAAATTCCCTGTGAACCGATCGTACGTTAGCATTCAGCACTGAAGTTGGCGCCGTAACCTTGAAATCTCTAAAACGCCTTTCATTGGCTCGTCCATAAATTAGAGTCTCGCCAGTAGATTTGGTTGATTTTTTTCCGTTCAATAAATAACATATTGAGAAGTAAGTTGTCGCTTATTGTAACCATGTTTAAAATTCAATTTAAACTAATGATAATATGATTAATTGATCTTACTGTAATTAAAAACGAAATCATTATAGAAAATGTTAGAATTTACATCGATTTTAATACAATATTAATCGATTATGTCATCTTTAAAATGATCAGTATCATTAGATGATATGTTTAAGCAGTATAAAGGGAGATATGAAAAGTTATTCATTAATGTACAGGCTGCTATGAATAACAAACGACAGCTGTTTGAATATTCTGTAGATCATTAATTACGTCTGAAAACGTGTTTTACTATGGATAAATGCAAAAAATACATTAGGAATGAATACATCATAAGCTTATTATTGTAGACAATAATAAGTTGTATAGGTTTTTCTTAAATAAAATGGACTAACTCAATGTTTTTACGTCCCTGTTACAAATGACTAGAATGTCTGACTAGCTATCTATTCTATAACAATGACTTGAGCTACTAAGATTGGTTTTTACAAAAATAGGTATGGTGATGAGTTAATTTTGGTATGCTTACATTACATTATCATGTTAGATTTAAACTTGAAATACTCGTATGTAAGTTCACTGCTTAAGATGAAAACAACATCGCAGTTTCTTAGAATATAGCAAGTTTAGTATGATTGTGCAGATTAGTGCGTAAATCTCTTGGAAGGCATTTTTGGAGTAATTATCAATCTGCACTGTTGATATGTACAATTAAATTTATCTCATAACTACTTCATGGAAAAATTACTTACTAAACTAATCACTCATATTTAAATTGTTTCTCCCTATAATTTACTTATTTTGTATTAATCATTTAAAGATTCCCATCATATTAAAAGACTAATATTTGAACGAAGAATAATCTTTTTGATATATTCTCTTCAGGTTCTACATATATATATCCAAATTATTAATCCCAAAAATGGCCAGGTTAAGGGCAATTTACATCGTTTAAAGTTGAAGCATGTCAATTTAAGATTGCCAAACAAAATAGAATAAACTTGTTAATGTTGATGTGACTCATATAGAATTTTAATTTGAATCAGCTTATATGTTAAGTGAAAAATGAAGATCCATGATCAGAACCAATATGGGTCAAATAGGGTGAGAGAAATAATAGTGCCATTACAGTCAAATGTTTAGTAGAAGACTATATTCTGATCGTGGTTCTTAAATTTTCGCTTAACATATAAGCTGATTCAAATTAACATCCTATGTGAGTCACATCAACATTAATTATTTTATTCTATTTTGTTTGACAATCCTAAATTCACATGCTTTGACTTTAAACGATGCACTTTGTTTTTAACCTGATCATTTTTCGAATTATTAATTTGGACATATTTTGTATTATCACTGGCTGAAATCATGAGTCAATTGAAGCTAGACCACCATGGAAAACCTGGAAGCATTGGACGGCCGTTTCGTCCTAGTATGGGACTCCTCAGCATTGCGCATCCACGATCCCACACCCCGCAAGATTCGAACCCAGGACCTATCAGTCTCGCGCCAGGCACTTAACCAACTAGACCACTGAGCCGGCATCTAACGGTGTTAATGTCTAACTTCAACCAATCCACGAAGTTGAGCCACCGTACACCATTGTCTTCAGTGAGTTGATATCTCACAACAGACACGGTTGAACTCTACTGGTAACAGCTTTTCACTAGAACTCCAGGAGTATCTCTTGAAGTCAGTCACTAGTGAGCAGATGATTATTATCAGAATAGGTTTTGTGAAGATTATAGAAATTTTAATGGTTGGGATCATGAGTCAATTGAAGCTAGACCACCATGGAAAACCTGGAAGCATTGGACAGCCGTTTCGTCGGCTTAGTGGTCTAGTTGATTAAGCGCCTGGCACGAGATTGATAGGTCCTGGGTTCGAATCTTGCAGGGTGTGGGATCGTGAATGCGCAATGCTGAGGAGTCCCATACTAGGACGAAACGGTCGTCCAATGCCTTCAAGTTTTCCATGGTGGTCTAGCTTCAATTGACTTATGATTTCAACAAGTGAACTTTCTAAATTCTCCACAAAACCACTTCTGATATTTTGTATTAGCCTACTCATAAGTAACTTATAGAAATCGCCTAAATATTTTAAACTAATTCAGAAAATAAAGTAATCCTGCTTCATATTCCATTATAATTTTTTAGACGCTCATATTGGTTGTTACGTCTGCGACGAATGCGCGAACCCTTTCAGCTCTCAAGTGACAGGAGTATCATTAAATACAGAGTGCCGTTTTTGTAAGGTGTGTTCATAACTAAATCTTTTTTTAATTATCATTACGTATTTGTAATAATGGAGATTTTATAAAGCCTTGCTAATTTTGGTTAAAAAATTACTGAGTTTCTTGTTCCCATTTGCTTGAAAAGAATTGAGACCTAATGAGATCCTTGTTAATTTTAATCAGCACAATTTAATCATTTTGTCAACTTCATATTTAAAATTCAATAGTTGAATTCATGAGTCAATTAAAGGTAGACCACTATGGAAAACCTGAAAGCACTGGATGGCTGTTTCGTCCTAGTACGGAAAAATTAGAATTAACGAATAAAAATACATGATTGTTGACTTTACTATCTACTTCTCTTTGTTTGCAAAAATTCAACTCAAAATTGTCGTAAACGTTTTATAAAAACACTTCACTATCAATGATTATAAAATATAATAGCTCAAGAAATCGTCAATAATATTCATAATAGAAGACGGAGAAATTATGAAAGATAAATATCTAAAGTTGTGTTATGACTGAACATGCTGTAAATCAAGACCAATACATTATTTCTTTAATTAATCTGTTGATCTAGATGGACGGATAAAGTTATTTGTCAACTTCATTTTTTATAAAACTACTATTAATCAATTTTGCTGTATTAACACAAATCATACTAAATTGTATTTTCTTAGAACTTAATAAATATAAGATCTTTAATGTCAATTAGAAAAGAATATAAATATAGTCTGTGACCACATTTGCAACGCCACAGCTATAGTCAGCTATTATAGATCTAATACATTTCATAACATTTGCATAAGAAGTAACGAAACTTACTGAAACTCCACATTTTATTGGATCAGTAGGCAGGGCTTTTATAATTGCAAACTATTGTAAGAAAATTTAAGCTTATATAAAATAATTTGAATCATGCTACTGATCAACTTAAGTCATTATTCTATAAACATGGTCGGCAGACTACGTTATCAATGCAATGCATCCATTCTCCATTGTTTCAGTTAAGCGAGTATTACGGAACGGTGAATAAAACAATTCAGTTTGTAAAAAAAAAGAATCCATTGTTAGTGACTATAAATTATTCTATAATTTCTTTGAACACTCATAAATAATGTGATAATGATAAATAAAATACAGTTTATTGGCTATCATGCCACATCTATAATTCGCTATATTGTGGCGTGTGCTACAGATTTCGGCAGATATAAGTAGTACGTGTCACCAGTTGAAAGTGAAATGACCAGAGTCAGAAGGTTAAGAAAATCAACGAGAAGAGAATGAGAACAAAAAATAATTGATGTGGAGACGAAGAAACAACAAAGTCCGAGACAATTGATTGACATTTTGCAAATGAAACATTGAATGTATGGTTCTCAGATTTTACTAAGCGATTATGTAATGTTATTTTAAAATACACTTGGTTGTACCCACCTGCTTTCTCGTTCATTACAGTGTTCTTGTATTTTATAGACATTAAATTTAAGAAGAAATTCATTTATTAGTATTGAAATTCAATACAAATTATTATTCTCATTAGTTTTAACCGTCTAGAAACAGCTAACAAGTTGACATATCTGCATATGTTTATTGCTTATCCATAAATAAGACCTACTATAATAAGTTTGTAACAAATAAAAAGGTAAATACAAAGTATTATTGAGTAATCACAAACTTTTTTTCAGATAATGTGAAATACTTCATTCACTTAAACCGAATTAACTCCGCCTGTAGCTCTTCTAAAGTTACTGCCGGTCCCAAGCCCGGGTAAATGAGGAGGGTTGGGCATGGGGTTAGCGTCCCCATCCCGTAGAAAACTAACTCTCTAAAAAAACGCTAACCAGGAAAAATAATTCAAACGCTTTAAACTTTGCTCTGGGAATTAGAAGGTCTTCATTTAGAAGAACTATGACGCCTCATGGTGAAAGCCGAGTTCCTTCGGAAGCCACGAGGCCGATGCCCCTTCTAAAAACCAGAGCAAAAAATGTGGGAGACCGGGAAGACCAGTCAAATAGCAACGGAAATGAGGAGATACAACTTGGCAATACTGGGAATCAGCGAAACCCACTGGACCCAAGCTGGACAACTAAGGCTAAATACGGGAGAGATGCTACTATACTCCGGTCATGAAGAGGAAAATGCTCCACACACTCAGGGAGTTGATCTAATGATGTTCAAAGTAGCACGAAATGCACTTGTAGGATGGGAATCTCACGGATCCAGAATCATCAAAGCATCATTCAAAACAAAGAAGGAGGGGATCACAATGAATATTATTCAATGTTATGCACCCACCAATGATAGCAACGACGACATTAAAGATCAATTCTACGAGCGGCTGCAGTCAATCATAGAGAAGTGCCCAAGAAAGGACCTCACTATTCTGATGGGAGATCTAAATGCCAAAGTCGGAATAGACAACACCGGATATGAAGATATCATGCGACGACATCGACTGGGAGAGAAATGAAAATGGGGAAAGATTTGCAAATCTATGTGCATTCAACAAATTGGTCATAGGCGTCACGATATTTCCACACAAACATATACACAAAGCTACATGAATCTCACCGGACCATACCACAGAAAACCAGATAGATCATGTTTGCATCAATAAAAAATTCCGAGGGACAATGGAAGATGTGAGAACCAGGAGAGAAGCTGACATAGCTTCAGATCACCACCTAGTTGTGGTCAATTTAAAACTGAAGCTAAAGAAGAACTGGACAAGTGGACAAACAGCACTACAAAGGTTCAATACGGCCTTCCTTCGAGATACTGACAAACTCAGTGAGTTCAAGATAGCTCTCAACAACAGGTTCCAAGCCTTACAGGATCTACTGAAGGAGGAAGAAACTACTATGGAGGACAACTGGAAAGGTATCAAAGAAGCATTAACTTCAACGTGTCAAGAGGTTCTGGGCCTCAAGAAGCATCATCATAAGGAATGGATCTCTATAGAAACACCGGACAGGATCAAAGAAAGGAAAAACAAGAAGACAGCAATTAACAACAGCCGAACACGAGCAGATAAATTCCAAGCACAAGTTGAGTACATAGAAGCAAACAAGCGATTGAAGAAGAAATCAAAATGGCCATCAGACAAATCAAGAGCGGGAAAGCAGCAGGACCCGACAACATACCAGCTGAAGCACTGAAGTCAGACATCGAAGTAACTACAAACATGCTTTACCTTCTATTCAAAAAGATTTGAGAGAAGGAACAAGTGCCTACGGACTGGAAAGAAGAACACTTCATCAAAATTCCAAAGAAAGGAGATCTGAGCAAATGTGAAAACTACAGAGGCATTACACTACTGTCAGTACCAGGAAAAGTCTTTAACAGATTATTGCTGAACCGGATGAAGGACTCAGTAGACGCCCAACTTTGAGATCAACAAGCTGGATTCTGTACGGATCGGTCGTGCACAGACCGAATTGCGACACTACGGATCATCGTTGAACAATCAGTTGAGTGGAACTCGTCACTGTACATCAACTTCATTGATTGTGAAAAGGTATTTGACAGTGTAGATAGGAGGAAGTTATGAAAACGTCTTTGACACTACAGAGTTCCTGAGAAGATTGTCAACATTATCCGGAACTCATATGATGGACTACAGTGCAAAGTCGTGCATGGAGGACAGCTGACAGATGAATTCCAAGTAATGGCCGGAGTCAGACAAGGGTGTTTATTCTCTCCCTTCCTCTTTCTTCTGGCGGTCGACTGGATTATGAAGACCTCGAGATCTGAGGGAAAACGCGGAATACAATGAACAGCTCAGAACCAATTAGACAATTTGGACTTCGCAGATGACCTAGCCCTCCTATCGCATACACACCAACAAATGCAGATAGAGACAGCCAGTGTAGCAGCAGTCTCTGCATCAGTAGGCCTCAGCATAAACAGGGGGAAAACCAAGGTCCTTAAATTCAAAACAGAGAAGAGCAATCCAATCACTCTTGACGGCGAAACTCTGGAAGATGTAGAATCCTTCACATACCTGAGAAGAATCATCTATGAACAAGGAGGTTCAGATGCAGACGTGAAGGCGAAGATTGACAAAGCACGGGACACATTCCTACAATTGAAGAACATATAGAACTCGAAACAACTTTCAACCAATATCAAAGTGAGAATCTTCAATACGAACGTCAAGGCAGTTCTACTGTACGGAGCTGAAACATGAAGAACTACAACAACCACCATCAAGAAGGTACAAGTATTTATAAATGGTTGACTACGCAAGATACTCAACATCCATTGGCCGGATACTATCAGCAACAGCCTTCTGTGGAAGTGAACAAACCAGCTTCCAGCTGAAGAGGAAATTAAGAAAAGACGTTGAAAGTGGATAGGACATACATTAAACAGATCATCAAACTGCACCACGAGACAAGCCCTAACTTGGAATCCTGAAAAGAAGCGGAAAAGAGGAAGGCCAAAGAACACATTACTTCGGGAAATGGAATCAGATATGATAAGGATGAATAACAACTGGAAGGAGCTGGAAAGGATCGCCCAGGGCAGCGTTGGATGGAGAATGCTGGTGAGCGACCTATGCTCCTTCACAAGGAGTAACAGGCGTAAGTAAGTAACTTAAACCTAATTGGCGAGACTATAATTTATGAACGAGTCAGTCAGATTTGGGATAACAGATCTTAAATTTTGACACGAAATTCATTCATCTGTTTGGTTAAGGGCGTTTCGGGATTTTAGCTGAAGTTTGTTTGTGATGAAAACTTTAAATCTAATTCTTAACCCTAATCATCAACTGTAAATCATAATCCTTATTCTTCACACAGTTTTATAACTCACATTTAGCCCTCTTGAGTTGGTTGACATTCTCAAGACCACTTTAACGTCGCTCAAAAGTCGACCATAAATTATAGTCTCACCACTGAATTCACTAATTTTAAGATTATTACCACTTATTACGAGCTTATAAGTTCAGGTTTAAAGCATTAGGTTATCCGAAGAAACATACTGACAGAGAATCGGAATATAGAAAGAGTTAGCAATTAATGATGTGATCACATTTCAGATAAAAACTACTTTCAAATACTTATACACGTACAATGTCTTTATTTTCACTTTGTTTTAAGTAGTATTATGTCATATATTTCAATGCACAATGATCCGCTTTCTTATTTTCCTTTTACATAAAGACTACACTTACTTATAGTAAGAATATGGTGACAATAAATATTGCAAAATCATGTGGTCAAATGAATGAAACTTGTGTAAATAGATACATTGCTTGGTATAATACAACAACGGAAGAAAATTGTTGTATTACTGACTTATGCAATGCATCTAATGTTCAGTTGTCAAAGTCAATAGTTGGTCTTTTCATATCTGGCTTAATTATCTTATTAACTTGTTAAGTGTTATAACACTACTCAAATTAAGCACACTTTTAAAGGATACATACTATCAATCAACAACTGTCAAAGATAAACATAACTTTTGAATAAAACAATGTAATCATTTAAATGAAGTAGTATTCCACTTGTTTACTTTATTGATGTTTTTTTTTATTATTTTTTAATGAGCTACATTCATCTTATCATCCGCACACCATTGTTTGCACACAAGTTACTTTGTATTGATTTTTTATGTGCTTAAATCTCACCAATGTAGTAAGATGACCTATTGATTAATCCACCTGACCATGAATTATGAGCTAATTATGATGAGAATTGTTTATAATAGGTGACCTACAGATAGATTTTGTTTTTCAAATAAAGAAGTCGAGTGCCATTATCTGTAAAGTTATTTTGGCGAGATTATAATTTATGGACGAACCAATCAGATTTAAGATAGCAGGTCTTCGATTTTGGTGCGAGATTCATCCACTCATTTGGCCAAATACCATTATAGCTTATGTCAGTTCGTGATGAAAACATTAAATATAATTTCTAATCCTAACGTTCAACTGTAAATCCTAATCATAGTTCCTCGCACTAATTTATAGCTCTGGTAAGTAGATGGACATTTCCAAAGTCATTTTAGCGTTGCTCATAGGTCGTTCATAAATTATAGTCTCACCGTTGTTTTGTTTGCTACATGAAAAGTAGTTACTTAGTTTAATGAAATAATTCCTTCTCAAGATTTTTGAATCCATTGCGAAATTCTTCCACAAACAAAGAAGCTTCACCATTGTTCAGTGGGTAAAACGGTTGTTGTCATTTATGACTTTCCATAGTATGACATTTTAAATTTACACTGAAATAAAAATCATTACGAACTACCGATTTTGTTTTAATTACTATAGATATTTGTCCATTTGTACTTGACATAAGACAGCTTAAAATACAATATAAAACCATAAGACCGGTGGGTGCTGGTCAGTTGTCTCATACTTGCAGAAGACAAATGCCTCATGCTCCCTAGTTTTCAAAGGTACCTCAGCCATTAGTATGTGGCAAAATGCGTTTTTAAAATAAACGGATTACCACAGACTTCTCAATCACACTAAAATAAAACAACCAGTTATCCCTTCATTTGTCTCTAAACTAATTCTTATTATTCTGAGATGAATAATGTATTTTACTTGCAGCTTTGGTCTCATACACATCTCAAATGGTAAACTTAACATAGCCACTTTGGCTATGTAATACATGATTGTTGTACACAAATTTTTGACATTAGCACCTACGAAAGAGACTTTACGTTTATAACCAAGGACCAGTACATGTCAAACTGCTCATCACAATATCCAACACCATCATTCAAAGAGAGTGCAAATAAAAAATGAGTATCTATATTTAGAGGACTAAACATACTGTTATAGTGAGCCAATCAGAAGTGGCCAAATGAAGTCACTTGACGAAAAGGGTTAGAAATGTATATATTTAAGTATTTATGAATGATTACTGTAGCCTAACAGACTTTCGCTTCCGCTCTTGTCCTTTCGTCCAAGTAGTCGATTTATGGGGGTTACTGAGTAGCAAGTTTAGTATCAGTATCAGATCTCGGACGTCACCCATCATAACAACTGACTATTTATGGTCTAATTATGTACCAATATGCAACTAATGATCTAAGAATAGTAGGTGTTAAGAACAAATGAACTTTGAGAATTCCCTGCTTTGGGCAAACATAACAATCATAAAATGTAACCAAATAAACGCCTAGGTTTCTTATATAATCCTTAATAAACAGACAACAAAAAATATATGTGAAGTAGTTTTATTGATTATTACACGTTGCACACGCAATTAAGAATAAACCTTTTCTATAAATATCATATTAAATATAATATACCACTTTTCGATGATTCACAAAAACTTTTATTCGTTAGTTCATACGTAAAATTAAAACTAATAACAAAAGTACACAGCGAAGACAAGAACAAAGTCTAAAACAATATAGCATGCACAATATGATTTTCATCAGAAGGAAATGGGGAAAAACAATGAATAGTTAGCACAATCATCCCTATTTTGTTTACTAAAAAAGAAACAAAAAGAAGTATCATATTCAAAATTAAATTTAGGAAAATTACAACTGAGTTTTGCCATAATACACGTTTGCAAAACAAAACACCGGTTATCATTTAAAATGGCAAGTATTATTTGGAATTTGTATTGTTATGATCATTGGAATTAGTACTGTTTTCCGGATTTGAATTTTGTCCACTAACATTGGTATGAAATGTTTGACGTAAGTGATTAACAAGTTGTGGATTGGATGCTTGCAATTGTTGAGCAAGTTGTTGACCACTAAAAATAGGCAATTAAAAGAAAATACACAAATATTGTATGATAATAGAAAACTACTTTATTAAGAATAAAACAGGTATGTGATAGAGATAAATATATGACTAATTAACTAACTGCTTGCTTCCTCATTTCCAAACAACATCAACACATACTTAATATATTTTACATTTGACAAACTATGCTCTGGTTTGATACAGATAATACACTAGTCTATGTTCATCCTGATGTGCCAATAACATTATAACAAAATAACTCCAAAATGTACATCAAAGTAAAATTGAAAGACTATAAAAGTAACATACTGAAGTAAGAGTTGTAGAAAAATGAGAGATAAACAAAACAACAAAGTATCTCATATGTCAATGAACTAGAATAAGATATAACTTTCCGCAACAATGCATCCAACAAGTAGTTATTCGCATTTTACTGGTTTCTAGTGTCTGAAAAAGCCTGCTCACTATTACACTTTCAAAATTATAGACTAATCAAAATTTAGTTCCTAATATCGACAATGGGATAGGCCAAACCCTTCCTAATGACGACATAAACATTATACCTGTTGAACAATTTAGTGGCTATCTGGTCTCAGTAGCTTAGTGGATAAAGAATTTGACTTTTAAAGCGAAAGGTACCAGCTTCAAGTCCTAGTATGAATATCAACAACGGAATGCAGGTGCCTCCGGCTGGTGAGCTCCAAATAGGGCGTAACGTGCGTCCTGGATTCCACTGCTGGTTACAACCTATCTATTGTAAATAAGATATTCTATCTATTTGTTGATAGAAATGGTGCAGAAAAGTGAGTATTATCAAAGTTTATGTGCTCGTTTATTCACCTCCCCATAAAATTTTCCTTTAGTCAGCCAAAAGTATAAAACTAATCGAATTATCCATTTTGAAGCACAACACCATTAGTGTGCAAAAAATAAAACAATATACAAATGATGACCAAATACTTAGAATGAACCTATTTTTAATAAAAATGGAGTGAATAGAATAGGTAATAAAGAACAAAAAAACAAATTTCTTACAGGCGTAAAAATTCATCCATACTTTGACCATTAGTACTAGGACCAGTACCACTAGGATTATGACTTTGTGAACTAGATTCTGTTGATTCGTTGGAATTATCAGCCTCAGTATTACGGGGTGAATTATTTGTAGTTGGATTGTCTGATACTCCAAATGTATTGCGTAGTAGATTAGTCATCCTAGATTGATGGCAAAGTGAGAACGGTAGAGAATGTAACTTTGTTCAATTTTAGGCACTAGAAAATGTTTTGATCTATGTTATATAAGATATACCATCTAAACTAGGTGTATTACACTACTAAAATGAACAATTACAAATTGCTTGGAAAAAAACGCAATGCGTTTAAACGGGCTGCAGAAATTTATCTTTTTTTAAAGACGACATTTTTTTACTGATGACGGGTTTCAAAAGTTTAAGGTTAAATGGATTGAACGCATTCAACAGTGCTATCGCCAGACATCTTGATACAGGACATAAAGCTGATATATTGAAGTCCTTCAAGGTGATTAACAAACAATCAAACTCGAACCTTTTGAAATTCGCTGAAGCGTTAGCAATCAAGCGTTTAAAACCAGACCTATGTATACAAAAAGAGACAGTAATAAATCTTTCTTTACCCTGGTAACAATAACCCCCACTCTTTCTATTAATTTGCTCCTATTTATTTATTTATTACGTCATTATTGCAACTCTTTCTGAAATATAAATTACATCATACATAACTGATTGATTTCAATTCATATTTTCTTTATTACCATTAATCTATTTTCATGAGTTCTAATCACTATTTCAATGTTCCAGAACTTTCCCTCTCTAACTTTATTTATTTATTCGAATCAAACATTTTATGAGCTCATTAACTCGATCTGAATATTCGCTACATCATCATACACATGTATTGATCCTTAATCACACTCTTATATATAAATATGTCAATATCTGTATTAATGTTGAATTTTAAATAATTTAGGTTGTAAGCAGCTGATGAGAACCTAACGAAATAAAATGAATTCATATTATTCTGCACCAATCTTTGTTCTTGCTCTCTTTAAAAAGCATTTAAATTTAACTCATGTGGATACCATCAACTTGCAGCTTAGATTAATTACATCCTGATTTTATTTCTGAGATTCCTCTCACAATTATAAGCATAAACCTTTACCAAATATAGATAGAAACGCAGGATATTGCTTTGAAACATTAATCAGACTTACATATTTTGAGCATTCGGGTCATTCATGAATTGCCGAGCCATATTCTGCATCATTGGATTGTTTAAAAAGGAATTTAAGTCAAAACCACTAAATAATCCTGAACTCTGAGTATTATCTGATGAATTCTTCAATTTTTCTTCGGCAATTGATAGATTTTGCTGACAATTCTCGTTACTTGGGTCAAGCTCTAAACCTTTCCGATAACACTCAACAGCTTTAGCGTGATTACCAATGCTAGAATAGGCAATACTACAATAAAGAAGTACCAAATAAAATTACCAAGTGTATACAAATTAACATGTCCAGTATTTAATTCTATTGCTATATGCCAAGTAAAAAGTTTGCTAAAATAGCTGGTAATTTCATCATTATGGAACTATAAAAATTGTATCTGACTCACACAACATATAACATAG